ACTATTAGTTACTTTTTTTTGATAACAGATGGTAGCACATTCCAGTTGGATTTATTATTAAAAACTGAATATGAAATTTTAAGTGACTTGACCAGACAGCTTGTCATTGTACTTTAATTTTTGCCTGTCTTTCCAAACAGAATTGAATTTAAATCTAATTTTTTTCTTGTTTTCAAATTAGTTTCTTCTCAGCATAGAGTTGCTTTAAATAATTTGTCCTTCTTATTACTTTGTTTTATAATTTGAAATATAGACCAGATTGATTAGTCAAAATTAGTGCATCATTTGAGTCAGTTATTTTTTTAATTCGTGTATAATCAAGTAAAACAAATTAACTTTGTTGTTATATGATATTTGATTGCTATAACTATTAGTACTTTGACAAATCTGTCATCTAGAGGTAGTGTCATGCATGATCTGTCATTATATATATATAGTGTTATTATATAAGAATGGCATTTGATTTCTAGTAAATCTGTTGTTATAGTTCAAAATAATTGTGTAATGATATACGAGACAAGAAAAGATTAATGCATGTGTTTGTTTTTTTATACACAAATTAGTTTAAATAGTGTCCTTTTAAGTTTAAAAAATTTGAACTTCTAAATTTAGAGATATACGTTATACTTTAGGTTGTTGAATTGGAGCTTTTAACATCTTCTGGGCAAAAAGTTCGATGTTCAAGAGAAGAAAACAAAGAAATATTTCTGGCTGCAGCGTGTGGGCTAGGAGCCATGGGAGTGATTATCACCATAACTTACCAGTGTGAACCAGCATTTCAACTTGAACAACGTCGGTTTCCATCAACACTGAAAGAGGTGTCGGACTTGTTATATTTTCTCAAATTTTTAAATCAAACAGTAAAAGTTGCTGAAATTTGAATTAAATTATTTATATAAACTTGTTGAAAGAGAATAAACAGAAGAAAAGTTTCCAAAACTACTGCTATCACAAATAATGTTGAGGATATCTGGCAGAAGTTTTAAATCAAATATTCTATACAAACTACTACTGATTTTATCCATGAGGTACTTGAAACTAGCAAAACAAAATTACAATTTTTGGAAAATAATATATGCATTTATACATGATGGTGTCACTAATGTTTGCTAACAATATCTTTTTGATTTGGTAAAAACTTAGGCTTTCTTCTATACTGTAATCGAATTGGTTACTTAGCAACATACTTGATTCAAGAAAAACATTTGTCTTAATTCATCTCAACCTGAGAATAGCAGTATGTTACTTTCTTGCACCTGTGAATAGCAGTATGTTACTTTCTTGCACCTGAGAATAGTAGTATGTCACTTTCTTGCACCTGAGAATAGCAGTATGTCACTTTCTTGCACCTAAGAATAGCAGTATGTTACTTTCTTGCACCTGAGAATAGCAGTATGTTACTTTCTTGCACCTGAGAATAGCAGTATGTTACTTTCTTGCACCTGAGAATAGCAGTATGTTACTTTCTTGCACCTGAGAATAGCAGTATGTTACTTTCTTGCACCTGAGAATAGCAGTATGTT